ATGTTCAGTCATCAGGTACCCATAATACTCTCTGGTCCACCCTGAGGGGCACTTGTAGGTTGCTGGGATCATCAGCTTGGAGCTTCGTGTCTTCACATAGCAGGAGACACAAGGGGCATCATGGTCGTGGAGGTGGCCTTTGGAGAGTGGGTTGAACTGGCTTACTTCATATTCTGCTCCAAATATAAACGCAGTATTTTGCCTTCCTGGTTTGTAGTTGAGGTAATCCGGGACTTCAGGGACGCATACATAGTTAGCACCTCCTCCAAGATGTGTGTAATGCTCTCCTCCGATTCGACCTGAAATGTTTAAAATGTATACATTATACTTTTCGGTTGGAACTAGTTTCTTGGGCATTGTTGTGCGCAATGCATCATGGTAAGAGAGAGAATGAATACCTCCAATGACAGGTGTCAGTCACTTACCCTTGTACACCAAATCAGCACCATAAGGACATGACGTCTTGCCCCATCGAATGTATTCTACCCCACCCCTACTGCGTCCCGGTGGTCCTCTGGGGCCATTTTGTCCTGATGGCCCTTGTGGTCCTTGAGGTCCTGTTAAAAAAAACGAGGTTTATGAAAATTTTGAAACTAGCGTTAAATGGCGTCCTATGATCCTGTTAAAACAAGAAACWAATTCAAAAACTGCTACCAAAAAGCATGAAAAATTGTTGAATAATAAGATATTTTTACTTAATTTATTATGTCATTGGTAATTTATGTCCTGTGGTCGCGCAACATTTCGTCCTAATAACCTACTCTACTTTTAAATGCCGGTCCTGTCCTAAACTACAATATAAATAGTACTACTACTAACTATGCTCTACACATAACTTATTATTGTTTATTATTGTTTAATTGAAGTTTATCGACTGCTTTATTATGATTTATCACCTTTTGGTCCAGGTGGTCCACCTTTTCCATCACGACCATCTCTACCTATGAAAATGAATATATATTAGTGATATACTGTATATTATTAGGTGTAGGTCGTGGATAGATTTTTTTGGAAGAATTCTTATTCAGAGTTACATATTCTGTAGTTTTTATGACAAAGAAAAGTGTTAATTTTGAAGTACCAGCTGTGCGAAAAACATCAAAGGAGAACAACAGTCATGTCTTTTCGACTTCGTCTCATGGAGTATAATTTGTTCTCTGTTCGGGATYGATCTGTTAGAGTGCAGCCGCACGGAAAATGGAATATCTATTTGCTAACATTAAAGTAGCTGGTACATAAAAATTAAACATTTAAACTAATTTATTCTCGATTTGTTTTATAAAAATTTTCCCTCTAATATTTTGGGGACACGAGCACTTTTAACACCCATTTCTCGACCAATTCAAGACAACGTAATGATACAATCAAACATTATATAAAATGTCGGTATGGCGGTCAATCACTCATGCACACTTAAATATGTATCCTACCGTCTTTTCCATCKCGACCATCTCGACCTGAAAATCATAATTCTAAATTAAGTTTTATAATAAACTRTAGAAATAATATTTCATTAATGACAGTAAGAAATTGTATTCTAAATKGAATTGAAAATCCGATTAGAACAAACAAACAAACTTGCATTTCCATTATGCAATCGTTGCTTTTTTTCTTTTTCATTTTCTCTTCCTGTTTTTTGATTATTTTTTATGTACATCTCTCAGTCTTGTTTTAAGATGTGGTCGGTTACCTTTGAGCAATATCATTCTTCGAGATTCTATTCTGTGCAACCTGAGAAGGGAAATTACAAAACAGGATGAGAATAGGATTATATTCTACATCGAAAAAATGATTGAAAATCACTTGCTTAATCGTCGGGAGAAAAGTCTACTATAGTTTCCTTCTCTTTGTTTTTGACTATCAGAATTTCTTTGATAATATTCTTTTTCTTTTACCATGACTGTCTTTTAAATTACAAGCGGAACAAACCTTTGCTTGAGCTGGGCCAATTCCTTTATCACGTCGGTTAAGGTTTTGCGTCCTCTTTTTTCTTCCACTTCATCGTCAGAAGCCACGGCGTACAGAAACACCGCCATTAGCAACAGCAACTTTATCCACTTGGTCGCCATTTAAATTAAAGGTAACCTTTTTAACAGAACTCGTGTTTTGAACGTTAACTATATAGCGTAAAGTCAAGAGTGTGAGTGCTGGGTGTTAGTATCTCGTTGTTGTTCATAAAAGTTCAATGGAGCTCTTAAACACGAAAATTCGTGTAAAGAATCACTGAAATATGCGCAAATGCCCATGATTGACAGGCTCCCCTCCATTATGATAGGACCTTGCGTTGTTTGACTGAAGTTTCAGATTCGAGGAGTATCCTAATTAAGGCCAGTTTACACTAGGAATTTTTTCGGTGGATTTTGGCTGCGCTTTCAGTTCGGGCGATTTTCACAAATATAGTAGATTTTGTCTTATATCCATCTAAGAGACGTTTAGTTAGCTCATCTTAGTGTAATGAATAAATGTTTACTAGTTAATTCTTTAGCATTATTCTCTAGGATCAAAATGTCCACAATAATTGTCGCAAAAATCACTGCAAAAATCACCAGCCTAAACGGTACTTCAGTGCAAAAAGATTCAGGGTAGATTCAATAACTATCTCATCTATAAATGTCGTTTTCCGCGTTCAATTTGACTAATTTGAATATTGAAAATGACTATCTAGATAATATGGTAGAAAAACAAAACAAAAGAAAACAAAAGAAACTACAATATATTCAGAGTGTGGTGCCAACTAATCTCAATAATCTTTCATTATAGACGTAAACGTATACTTCTAAATGCAAGAACTTTGTCAAAGAGAAATCAGTATCACATTTTTATGCTGAGTAAAATGAAATTTCTTTAAAAGATAAAAGAAGTCACTTCACTAGCTGACCGTTCAATCTTTTGTCTTTTTTAATACACGTCATTGAAAAAAAACTGACTTTGTCGCTAAAAAGGTGATATCATCGAGGTGGAAAGTTTAATTCACAGCAATTCAAAACATATTTGCCAGTAAATAGCATTTACTTGTAGAGAAATAGAGGATATTACATGGTCGCCCGGAGATACGCGCGGATTATATTTTCGAGTGTTGAAAAGATCTCTAACGAGCTGTGATAGTTAACAGTGAAAATAACAACATTTCGAAAGAGAGGAATATAGGTATCTCATAGATAATTATATGATAAGGTCATTTTATTCAGAGTAGGCAATCTTTTTAAAATGAAAAATTGTTATGTTCATAATATTTGCTTTACCATGCCGCGATGACCTATTGGAACCACACTACGTTTTTGCATATTCCTTTTTACTGAAGTGTAGCCTGCGTAGCGGCCCTTAGGGCATTAGGGGAGAGTGGGAAGGGGTAGAATGAAAAAAAGAAAATCTCYTGTTTTTCCCTTTCCTCCCCGACCTCCCTTCTTCCGTTTCTCCCCTTCCTCTTCCCCTAGAACCTCCCGCTAGACTAACTGAAGTGTTTTATTTCTCGAAGTCAACGTTTTCATAAATAGGTGCATGTTTGAAGCTAATTTTCAAAATCTGTCATGTAGCAAATCTTAAAAGAACAAAAACAAATCAACAGAGAGATCATTATTACCGTCGTTTCTGTCGACGTGCGCGTTGATTATCTATCCATCTATGCGTCTAAGTATATCGTCCGTTCACAGTACTGCAGTAAAAATATTCAATAATTTCAGACGATTCTACTTAAATGTGGAATCATTGGGATAACCACCTATCAAATTAGCATAATGCATAAATGTAAACAACTGTTGTTGCATTATATATATTCTACGGTTATTTTACTGAGAAGTACTGAGCTTTATTCCGTAAAGGCGGATAAACATGGGATAAATCAAGGATTTATCTCGCAAGGTTTTTGGTGTTCAACAGGAGGGTGGGAAAACTTCTTGAAAAGCAGGAACGTTGAGTGTTTTTGTATGTGGAATTTCTCAGCCTTAAAGTTAATTCACTGTTTTTCTAGAAATCTTTTTAAATCTGATCACTAAAGAGTTTGTAAATTTCATGCTATATGTTAAACTGTTTTCGTTTTTAAAGTATTGATTGAAAAGGTCTAATAGACGAAACATGTTTCATTCAAAGGTCTTGGTGTAGTGTGTCAAAGAGGTGATTTTAAAAACGAAAGCAGTTTAATATATAGCATGAAAGTTAATTCAGTTTATTTTCTTTCTCAGTTATAAAGTTTTATCACAAAATAAAATACAAGCAGCCTTAGCTTGTCCAGGAGTGCAGGTTTTAAGAGCAATTATACATGAATAAACTGAAACTGATCGAATAACTACTTGGTACAAACGACACATGTCAGTTCTCGGTCTTGTACGTATGGGGTACAAGGAAGGGAACCGCAGTGACCAGATACAGGATACAGAAGAGCTCCATTCAGATTTGCCTTGCTTCCAGATACAGCCTCAGCATCTTTGTCTACACAGATATAAGCCCTGTTATTCTTGTGGTTATAATATTCCGTCATCAGGTACCCATAATACTCTCTGGTCCACCCTGAGGGGCACTTGTAGGTTGCTGGGATCATCAGTTTGGAGCTTCGTTTCTTCACATAGCAGGAGACACAAGGAGCGTCATGGTCGTGGATGTCGGTATTAGAGAGTGGGTTGAACTGGCTTACTTCATACTCTGTTCCATATATAAACGCAGTATTTTGYCTTCCTGGTTTGTAGTTGAGGTAATCCGGGACTTCAGGGACGCATACGTAGTTAGCACCTCCTCCGGTATGTGTGTAATGCTCTCCTCCGATTCGACCTAAAATGTAAAAATTTTTCATTGGGGCATTGTTGCGCGCAATGCGTCATGGCAAGAAAGAGGACGAATACCTCCAATGACAGGTGTCAGTCACTTACCCTTGTACACCAAATCAGCTCCCGAAGGACATGACGTCTTGCCCCATCGAATGTACTCGATACCACCCCCACTAGGCCCTGGTGGTCCTCTGGGGCCATTTTGTCCTGATGGTCCTTGTGGTCCTTGAGGTCCTGTTAAAACAAATAAGATTTATGAAAATGTTTCAAACTAGTGTGAACTACTGAACCTTTTCTAAAGAAACAGTTGTGGAATAAGATCATCTTACACCGTGAAAACTTTTTTTTAATGATTGCTTTGTTGTTATTATTTATTACTATCACCTTTTGGCCCTGGGGCTCCGTTTTTACCATCACGACCATCTCTACCTATGAAAAAACACATGACATTGTTATGGACTAGTGGAGGGGGGAATGACGACTCTTATCCATATACGCCCCTCCCTCCCTCCCTCCTTCCTCCTCACTTCAAATCTGTGGCCCTTTTTCTTTCTTCTTATCTCCTATGTTTTACAAACTTCGACGATCTGTCTGTCACTATTTATTACGATTTTTACATCGCCGACAACTTTGTTTAGGGCGAGTTTGGTAGAGATCATATCCAGTTTTTCACTGTCAGAATGATTTAACATTTTCTCGAACGACGCCAGTTTACCTCTAGATCCTGGTAAACCGTCTTTTCCGTCGCGACCATCTCGACCTGAAAGAGTTAAACTAAGGCATATGAGGCTATGTTTTCAGGGCGAAAAAAAAGACACGTAAAGCTACAATATTATATAGTTATGCAGTGTTTTGGCAAATGGGAAATGCATTCATTTCTTGAAATGGTTTAAAAGTTGTGCATGAAGTCCGTGTCATTTACCTCTGAGTGTTATCACTTTGCGAGTTTCAATCTTGTTCAGCCTGGGAAAACAAGAAGTGAAGCAAAAATCTTGTAACTAAACTGTTGACTGATGTGCACTTGGATGTTGAAGCATCAGCTTATGACAATATCGTGCTGCTCTCATCTGAGAGATGGCAAGCATTGTCCTTTGCTACAGATTTTGTCGTGTGCTGTATTTATATGCTAAGCAATGTTTTTGAGGTATCTAAGAGGCCAAGACTGAAAAAGAGATCGATAAAACAAATCTACTTGTCTCGTAACATTTTTATTGTTGTTCAAGAGTCGATATCATTTCTAATTTTGCACCTTTGCCTCAGCGAGCGCAGGCCATTTTGTCACACAACAACAATAACAACAACAACAACAACAACAACAACAACAACAAAAACAGTGAAAAACAAGAAACACTGAAGCTAAAGTTTAGCGATAAGTTAAGCTGGTTATTTGTATCTCGTATTTCTCGACCTTTAGACAACAATGCGTTCTTATTTATTTTACATTTCACGGGAAGTCGTTGAAGTTGCGATTATCCAAAAATGAACTGTGGACAACTGAAATTCAAGATAGAGTCTCCAGCCACAGCTCTTTAAAATTTACTGAAGGACAAACCTTTGCTTGATCTTGGCCAATTCTTTTACCACGTCGCTTAGCGTTTGATCGTATCTTTTTTCTTCGACTTGGTAGTCATAAGCCACAGCATACAGAGAAACTCCCAATAACAACAGCAATCTAACCCACTSTTTCGCCATTGTAACAGGGATSTT